CGTCGAATTTTGGCATTTTGATATTTCCAACACAATTAGTTAAAAATAAAAAGATTACAACAAACGATGGTCTTCCGTTGGCTCGATTAAAATTGTACCTCATCACGTGAATTAGTTCAATTGGGATGTAGCTGCGGAAAGTAGCAATTTTCTCGTCAGGTGGACAAGCGCGGAAACTTTAATTAACTAATTACATACGGTTCTCGCACCGTAGATTCCGCAAGGTCTCGATATAATCGAATCGGGGCAAACACGAAGAAATAAATCGAAAACGTCTCGGCGTGTTACATCCAATGTGGCGCTCTTATATAATAATTTAATATAATATAATACTTACAAGACATCTATGGGGGATTGAGGAGACCACTCTTGACGAGGCCGTGCCTTGTTGGGCATTTGCGTTTATTTATACGTTCACATTGTCGGAGTTCCTGAAACAATGCAAACATTCTGTCGTTTATTCTTATGACGCTATTTCTCGAAACAATGTGATTCTCTAATTAAATTTCGAGCATTATTTCGTCGCAATATACTGATATCATAATTTTAAGAGTTTTATTATTTCAAATATTATTTAATAATAATCGTGCATATACATTTTTCAGTGACGACAGTCATGGGACAAAGTGGACGCTAGGACGATGCTATGGGAAATCAAACGCTTTTCAAGAGATTCCACGGTGACCCGGTCGGACGGAAACTTGCATAGAGCAAATAGAATTCTCGACGGGATCGCAACTTTTCTCATTCTAAACTCTCCGTCTACGTGCTGTTAAAAGCGCGAAGGTATTTATTCTTTCGTTGAATCACGTTTGTGTTGTATCTTATTTTTTTTAAATAGTTTCTCGAGCTTCAACATAATGGTCGTCACAGATTTTTTAAATCGTTTTATATTGTTTTTTTTTTATTTTACGTTGCAAACCATACACATTTTTTGAGAAAAATTAAATCTTTTAAAAAATTTTAATGAAAATTGTGTTTTTTTTTTTAATTTGTAATTACGCAATAGCGATATTATTAAAATATCACGAAAATATTTTATATTAAATGCATCAGAAACCTGTCATTTTTGTTTCGTCCTATTTTGGTTAAAAATAAATATTTTTAATATTTCTGTTTAAATTATTCTTTAAAAAATATATATTTTTAATTAATGAATAAATTTGGTGAGAAATAAGTAATCAAAATCACAAATAAATAATAAAAACAAGTCAATTCCATTCTCATTCTCTTTTAGGAGATATTCTCTCTTAAGATCGACACTTCAAAATACCGTAAATATTTCATTCTTCGAGAAACGTGAAATGATATTGATTTACGTTCTATATCTGTTTCGTATCTTTCCATCTTTCTTTTGTAAATAAGCAAAAATTGCATCTCTATGGAACTATTCTTATCAGATGTATTCAGACTTTCGTTCACTGGTGTGCGCATTCTTTGGAAAACGGTGAAACGATGCACCGGCGCATAAACACGCGTATCCATTCATCCACGATACATTACGACGCGTGCACCATTACGCTTTCGATGATGTATCACTATGTTCTATTCGAGAACAAGGTGACGATCTGTACTATCGCGTTCGTGCGTCGCATCTGTTGGTTATCGTGCGTCAAATATACGCAGCATGCAAAATACTGATGCGACATAAAAAAAACTGAAATAATAATATAAAAAAATAAGAAAATCGAATTTCTTGAATCGACCTTGAATAACATTTTCGCGCGAACGCGATCGAAGCTAATGCACTTGACAGATAGCTCGACTGTCGATTTGTTAAAGGTTCGGTTTAAATGCGCCTACCTATTTTCATCCATGTCAGTCTGGCGACCGTCTGACCGTTGCACGAAATAACAAGGACACGTCGCGTCGCCGCGCGTCGCGTTTAAGGGATGATCGATATATCGAATGCGCGGCTGTCTGGGCAGGGATGGTGGGGCTATGATGTAACTCACGGCATTCTTCCGCTTGCGTAACATCGACCATTCTTCGCGAGGTCGCGAGAGAACGTGGGAAGAAGCTAGAGCCGGCGATGATACTACACGAAAACAAAATTAAGTTTCATTTATCGTCGGAAGGCCCGGCGCACCGCCCTAACGTTCCGCTCTAAATTCTCTCGAGCTGAAAGGAAGATAGTTATTTTTTTGACAATCGAGTATCACGACAGATAAGAATAATCTTATGCATAGAAATGAAGAATTAAGGCGAAAAGCCTGTTGGAAATCCGAAACGCAAACGCGGTATTTGTCTCTGAGGGAAATGAGATGAAGAGATAATTTCTATCTCTTGTATAAAGTTGACTTTCATCTTTGACTTTGCCTATTTTTAGAATTAATTCTACAGATTTGTAAAGAAATAGTAGAAAGAGCATTGCATGTTTAGTTGAATATAAATACAATTTTTCTTCGCGTATCTTTCGTGTAGCAAAAAAGAAATAAAGAACGCTGTACATTTATCTCGTATTTAAAGAAATATAATTGTCGCAAATAACTTTGATGACTCTCGACGAGGAAAAGTGCAAATTCCAGCGTATCGCATGATTGCTGGACGGCGCCCGCGAGAATCGTTCGAGGGCTACCCCGCTACTTTAACGATCGCTTTGGAAGTTGCCGGTCGATGTGCCCGAAGCACGCAAAAACGGTAAAAGTTCGCCCGCCGTGCCGGGAAACAGCAACGCTGGTAATGGCTGCGCCCGCAATCGATACTTTCCCAGAAACTTCTAAGTGTGTCGCGAATTTGATAAATCGGTTAAAAGGAACGGAAACATTTTCTCATCGGCTATGCGAAAGTGCATGAACATGAAATATATAGCGTTTCTGTTCTCGCATGAAAAATAGCATCTTGTCTGGAATCTAATACACTTCCAGTCGGATATAATCATTTCGAAAATAGAAGTCGAGGGAAAATGTTTGCATTCGCATCATGCGACAAGACACTCGTGTGGCTTTGAAGCGAAAAGGCTCGGCGCGGAGGATTAACGATCATACGAGTTATGTGCTCGAAACTGAACATCGGATAAGACGGCTCGGGATAAGTTTGACGGGAACGTTTTAAATAACAGTATGTCACATGGGATTCGCGACCGAAACTTACTTTCCCTTATCGAAGGGTCGTATTACTTTGGTAGACCAATGAATAGGCGGCGTTACCGAGATAAGGCGCCATTTGTCAGCGAAGGGACGCGCTTTCCTATTATAGATAAACGCTATCTGCACCGACTGAGGCTTCGTAAACACGAGTACAAAATTAAGCGCAAAATTGCGTCCCTAGCGCGAAATCGAATAAAAGGAAAAAGGTCTTTTAAAAAAAAATTCGATTGCCCGCGTCTTAACTAATTTCCATTTGCGAGCTAACAAAGAACTTCTCGAGCTCCTGGCGGTTTCTGAGATCTACAGTACCGTTCTCTCTTTATCCCTTTCTTTCTCCTATCAAGAAGACACTTGACATAGTTTCCGATTTCGTCATCGAGTGCTCTTCATCGTGACATATTTCTGCTCTATAGCCCTAAGAACGGAGGTCAAATGTCCATTATACTTTCAACATGCAGAGTAAACCTTGAACTTGTTCGATTCTTCTTTCTATTGTTGGAATTCTATAGGTATCACGGTTTTTTCAGTTGTTTATCGCATCCGATGGAAGCCGCTAAAATACCCGAATCGATAAATAAATATGAATCACGAATATACGAAATATCACACGTTTTTGCATGCGGTTTATATTGCAGTTATAAGTTTTTAATACCTTAATACTTTAATATATATTATATATAGATAGCACACACACGTTAAATTCAGTGGGAATAGAGATTATACTTGGACGGTACTCGGAAGCACGAATTCGAATATAGCGTGAACGAAGCTCCGGCCACAATTCGCGTAATCGATGCTGCAAACCCGATTATGGTAATTTGCAGTGTTAGATACAGCTCGCGCTTTAAAACTTTAGAAAGCGGCCGACGCCGCTTACAACTAGAACGAAGCTCCGGTCTTTTCAAGGACGGAGACGCGTTCCGTTATTTCGGCATATCCTTTGACCTTTTCCACGTCGTAGCTGCAGTCATTCGGTTATTTAGTATATATCCGGCCGCATAAATAACGTATAAATAACGCCCGATGCTAAAGGCACCGGCTGGAGAGACACATCGAAAGATTTTCCCGAACGCGGTTGACGTTACGTCGCTTTGTCTTATCCGATGTACGAACACGCAACAATTTATTTTACGTCAAATGGGAAAATGAGATTTCACACAGCTTCAGTGGGTGCGCGCGTGTGTGTTGATATCGGATAGTCGGTGGCGTATGATCGATACACTCCGCGGTAGAATCTCCCCGGCGTCTCGCCGCAAATTACATAATTATTCATAACACGAACGGTGTTAAATCCGTTATATTTGACCAGAGAACCGATGGTATTACCAATCATGTCGTAAAGACGTTTCTGAGATAAATGGTTTTCTGCATTTTTGATAATCATCGATCGGCGGCGCGCGGGGTATCCCGTAGACGATGAATTTTTAACCGATCTAAATTCGCCCCAGCCTTCGTAACGACGTTGAATTTACTGAATATTTAATTACGCTTCATATTATTGCAGTCGAATTTGCCGATATTTCATGAAATTTCTGGATAAAAAGTTTCCAAACTGTAAGTTTCGAACCGAAACTTTGTTGTTCGACCGTTTTTTTATTATTATTCGGAGGGATTAAAATAAGATACACGCACAAAAAAAGAGATCGGTTATGCATACTAATAACACGATTGTGGCGATGGCAACGGCGAGCAACACGCTTGTATTTGTATGTAAAACCAGGATGGTTAGCAATCCCCGTGGAGAACGCGCTAATTGCCAGTGGTCCAGTACTGTGCGAACAATAAAGCTAAGTGCGAAAAAATATACGAGAAATTCGTTCGAATGTTTATTAAAAAAAAAACAAAAAAAAACAAACAAAAGAAAATAAGCGGAGTTTTCAGTGATTAATTGTCATGAAAAAAAAAAAGCATTCGAGTTATCTATTCTATAGCGCAAATAGTTTGTTGTTTTATATTAAGTAAAATTAAAGGCAAAATTACACAAAGTTTTAAACTAACTTTTATTAATGGAAATAGTTACCATTGGCTTTAATGCGCTTTTTCCATACGGAAACAAGGTACGTTTAATGTGAAAAATTCTGTTCCGAACCATTAGAATGGAAATCAATAGCTTTGTTTAAAACACAGACTTTCGTAGAAAAGCGACGAACCTTTTGCGCCAACTTGATAAATAGTTTGAAAGGTTGACTTTACCTTATAGTTGCGAGTCAGAGGTCAAGGGTCGAAGATTGAGAGTGTCGGGCGCGGACCTCGCAAGCTCTTCGTGACGCGTTCATTAATCGGTTGCGTAGGAGAATCGAGTCGTACACGTGAGAGCGCGTAAGCGGAGTATCGTAGGCGTA